TGCAGACAGAAGCGTGTACAGTATGAGCCAATCAGTGGCAGTAATGACAGAGCATGCGCTGTTACGCAAAAACCGCGATAGAGCGAAGCCGCGGAAGTCGAAGCGCGAAGTGGCGAGGGTTCACTGTAGGTAAAAATTCACTGAGCTGCATGCTCGATGCAAATTATAGCTCAATAAAAATAAACAACACAGGAGCTGCTGAGAAACGGCAGGCAATCAATAACGAGAGCACAATCTTAGAAGCCATTAGGGGGAGAAAAAGATTACCTCAATGGAGTGACCGACTGCAACAGCCACAGAGGCCAGAAGAGAATGAAGCAATACTTTTAAAGGAGAGAATAACTGTCTGAAATTTCATACGGAGCTGAGCCATCATATAAGAATGAGGGCAAAGTATTTTTTAGACATAGAGACCACCTGCTGACGACCATTAAAAACGCTATCATGTCATTCAGTAAGCAGAGTAGACACAAAGGGAGGGAACACAAGGGAAAGGAGAAAACAATTATCCCAGAAACTCATAAAATGTTCATGACTGACTATAAAAAAGGTAATTGTTGAGTTTATAAAATGTATAAAGCTAAAACTGTGAAAAACAATAAATGAGATAAGAGAATCTTTAGATTCCGACTCATAGTGATGCTTCAGGAGGGCAGAACTGCCCGGTGGATTGCCAACACCGTAGCTCTTTACAGGAGTACAAAGTCTCAGAGGCACACAGAAGAGGACTGTTTCCCAAAGTGAAGATACTGCCCCGTGGGGAAGCGGGTACTGGAATGATGGGGAGCGGGGAGGGGGGCGTTTTACAAAAGCGGGCATACTTTATGCTGGACCATGGGCTACAGTACAAACACTTTTAATTGTTGGAGGAGAATAATTTATTTCTGAAACGGGGCCAGTAGGTTAAATAAGTTTGGGACCCTATGAACTACAGCATCCAAAAGATAAGAGGAAAAACAGAAAATACACGAGTCTAAATGAAGACAAGCACATGAAAAGGGAAAAAGAAATTACAAATAGATTAAGAGCTGAGATTATCAAAATTCATTTTTAAAATGTTGCTTGTAAGAGACATGTCTCAAATAAAACAAAGGAAAATTTCAAAGTGAAAAAAGGAAAATGAAATATATGTAACCTAAAACACATACCACACACACAAAACAGAAATACTCAGGATAGCAGCATCAATAGGAAGACATGACAACAAATCTTTAAAATGAAGTAAATAAATACTCTGATGATCCACCGCACAGGTGTAACTTCATTCTATATCAAGATGTTCAAATAGATGGTTGGTCATAGGATATCCACAGTTGAAATAGTTCAGACTGCAATATAAGCTATTTTAATGGAGTAAACAAATGTAGAAAAATATCTAACAGGAGGTATTTATTGAACACCCCAAAGGTAACTGGTTACACCCAAGAGATTTCCTATTTGGGGCAGTTAGATTTTATGTCAACCTGAACCTGTGTGGTGGTAGGGGTGGAGTTCAATAGCCTAGTGGTGCCTCCTTGGGGGTGGGGCCTTTTTATGAGAGACAATAAGAACCTCTCTCGTCTTGCCCTTCACCTTTCTCCTTGCTGGGACACTATGTCTGCCTCCAGAGGTGGCCTCATGTGGGCCGCTGACCCTGAGAGCCAACCTGAGCTATCGGAATCCTGCCATGTTCCCACTGGCCGTGGCCCACACAACTCTATACTCATGGGCCTGTGATCTGCCTGCATCGGCCTCCGACTACATGACTCTGAAGAGGGCTCGGAAACCATGGACTTGAGCTGGACTGGGATAGGGTGTCTCCCTGATATAGAATTCTTTCTTGATACACAGTTCTTTCTTATACATCTTTCAATGTCATTGTTTTGTTTCTCTGGACAACCTAGCCAACACATTATTCAACAAGTGTATTGAAAACTGCACTGGGGGGCCCCTACTCAAGAACGCCCTCAACACAAGAACACTTTGTTCTAACAATTTGGCAGTCTGAGATGCTCACCTTCCTGGCACAATCGCTGAAGACACGGGTGCACAAGCAAATGTGGTAAAGAAAGCTGATGGTGCCCTGCTATCAAAAGATATAGCATCTGGGGTCTTAAAGGCTTGAAGATAAACAGGCAGCCATCTAGCTGAGAAACAACAAAGCCCACATGGAAGAAGCACACCAGCCTGTGAGATCACAAGACATTGAAGGGATCAGGTATCAAAGACCAAAAAAAACCAAACAAACCATAGCATTGTGAATGAGGAGGAGTGCAGAGTGGGGACCCAGGGCCCATTTGTGGGAAATTGGACATCCCCTTGCAGAAGGGCCGCAGGAAGGAGACAAACCAGTCAGGGTGCAGTGTAGCAATGATGAAACATACAATTTTCCTCTTGTTCCTAAATGGTTCCTCCCCGCAACTATCATGATCCCAATTCTACCTTACAAATCTGGCTGGACCGGAGGACGCACATTGGTACAGATAGGAACTGGAAACATAGGGAATCCAGGACAGATGAAACCCCTCAGGACCAGTAGTGTGAGAGGCAATACCGGGAGGGTGGAGGGAAAGTGATGGAGAAAGGGGGAACAGATTACAAGGATCTACATATAACCTCCTCCCTGGGGGATGGACAGTGGAGAAGTGGGTGAAGGGAGACGTCAGATGGTGTAAGATATATCAAAATAATAATAATTTGGGGGGATGGACAACAGAAAAGTGGGTGAAGGGAGATGTCAGACAGGGAAAAATATGAAACATAATAACTTCTAAATTATCAAGGGTTCATGAGGGAGTAGAGAGTGGGGAGCGGGGAGGGAGGGGAAAAATGAGCAGCTGATGCCAGGGGCTTAGGTGGAAAGCAAATGTTTTGAGAATGATGAGGGCAATAAATGTACAAATGTGCTTTACACAATTGATGTATGTATGGATTGTGATAATAGTTGTATGAGCTCCTAATAAACTGATATAAAAAACTAAAAAAAAATTATAAATTATCAAGGGTTCATGGGGGGGTAGCGGGGAGGGAGGGGGGAAAATGAGTAGCTGATACCAAGGGCTCAAGTAGAAAGACAATGTTTTGAGAATGGTGAGGGCAACAAATGTACAAAAGTACTTGACACAATGGATGGATGGATGAACTGTGTTAAGAGTTGTACGAGCCCCCAATAAAATGATTTGAAAAAGAAAAAGAAAACTGCACTGGGAAATTGAACACAGTGTCAAAGAGATCAACCAAGACAGTCAAGGTAAGCTTGCTGACTGCAACAGGGTTGCAATGATAATGCACAGTGAAACCCGTGAGAGCCAGAATCCGGGTAAGGCAGAAACTTGTGAGAGAGAGAAAAACCATTTCTACTACACAGGCAACAGGAAAGTGGTAAAGACTCAATTATCCAAGGTACTGTGAGACCCGGGAAAACAAGGCAGCCTG